AAACGCCACGCAAAATTTGGTGTAGAAACTCTTTGCTTTGCTTGTGCGGAAGAACATGTAATCTTTTACCTTATTTTTTCACCGTTGACATGTGAAGCAAGAACACTCACGCCATCTTCACTAACCTTAAGCAACCCCTGCACATCATACAATTGTTACTATTAGAAACTTCAGGTGTGGATATCATATTGCAACGGTAAGACTATCTAATATACGTGGTATATTAAAATTCTCAAAATCTATTAGGCAATGTTTACTTAGCCAAGCTATTCATTTGTTTACCACTAATAGGCTGCAAAATTAATTACCTCGTCAGCGTCACATACAATGACATGACCAGCAGCTGATACTGTAAGTCCTAGTAAAGAATTACTCCCAATATACTTCCAACTCTCCCAAGTCCCATTCTTGTGCAATCTTTTGATCCAACCATCTCTAGTAGCTGTATATAAAACTCCCATTTTGTCCACTGCCACATCTTCTGGTCTATCTAGATACCCTTCTCCAAGTTTACTTACCCTCTGAAATTAACACCACCAAAAACAGTCCATATTAGCATCGTTTGAACATTAATTGGTAATCTGATAAATATGATAACTATCACATACTATCAAAAGTTAAAATTCATTGACATTGTACATAAATAAAATCCATAAATTGGATAGAGGCAAGTAAGAAAATATTAAGGAACCTTTTTTTTCTTTAAAGTTACCTGCAAATGGCTGTTTGATGTAAATGTAGCGGTGAAGGATTTAGAGGAAGAAGGAATTTCAAGAATATCAGGGGATATTGGTGAGAACAAAAAAACTTGGAGTGAAATAGCCAGCAAAATAACTACTAAAAAGCTTGAAAAAACCAACATGGAATCCATAATGTGTTTGCTCTATACCTCTAGTGCAGTTTGCAGATGAGAGGAAAAGTTCAGTCCTTTATGCAGTAGTTCTGATAAAAATAATTTCTTTGGTCCAAAATTACTACTTATCAGCAAGCCGCCAAGTTTGAAAAGTATTTGTGGCTGAAAATTGTCTAGGATCGTAGACAATAAATTGCGTCAAGAAAATAAAATCAAGATCGAAAAATATTGCAATAATTGTAGTATTTGATTTCAAATAGTTTGAGTGTTACAATCTATATGAATTCTCTGATTCTACTTTTTCAATATAAATTCAAGGGCCTTTGAGGTTGATCTTGAATTTGAATTTGATTTATCCGTCGCGATCGCTTTGATTGTTGCCACGAATTTTATCACGAACAAGTAGCCTTGATCTTGAACGCCTTGTATCTGATTTGACTTCGTTCTTGATCTTGAATACTTGAAATTTGTGTTGAAGTGCTTGAATGTTATGAAAACCCCTATTTATAGTTGTGAAAGGGAAGAGTTGTGATGAGAATAAACTTCTTCCGACCAATCAGATTGAAGAGTGACAATGTCATATTTGATTGGTCAGAACATGTCACTTGCACATGTGACACCGTTTCATTGGTCTTTTAATTTGACTTGGCATGCTTTGTCATTTTGACACGTGGCATGATCATATTGGTTCTTCCGTTTGACTTGGCATGCCACGTCATTAACATGTGGCACCAAATTGTGCTTTTAGGAAGGTTACATCCTGGGCCTAATGAAGTGGGCTCATCATCTGTAGCCCAATGAATTAAGACTTATTTATTTAATCCATATATATTGAACTTATATAATTGATCCAATTATATTATCCCATAAATTTATTTGAACTAATATATCCTGAATTTAAAATATAGTCCAAATTATTTTATGGATTTAATTCCAATAAATTTTAAATGACTACAAGGGTAATCTATATAAATATATAAAAGAGGGACAATACAAGATGATGTGGCATCTCTATTTACCTTACAAACTCAATTATCTTTTTTGTCAATTTTTTGGACTTTCTCTTTTTTTTCCCCTTATTTATCTTCCGTTTCGTCAATTGCCGTGTTCGTAAGAATACAATGAAGAAATCCTCAGTTTCTTCTTTTCTGTGACATATTTCTACTTTTCTTCTTTCTTTAACTCTATGATTTGTCTATGCTACAAATTCTATCTCTTTGTCACACACTTATATCTTTATTTGTTCTCTGTTACAAACATAAGATTATTGGATATATCAAGGAGAATGATTTGATGCATGGCCTGGATATCAAATGAATCCAGCAAAACAGAGAAGATGTTTTCATCGTAGGGAGATACTAACACTGAAATTGAGAGGATAAAGAGTAAGGGATGCATGCGTTATGTTTCTCTATAGATCGACTAACTCGCGCATCGTAGCAATGGAGAGGAAAAAGAGTAAGGGGTGACTCTTTTGGTGACTTTGGGCTTCCAGTTCCAGATATGTTTGGACTCTCCACTTCTGCCCACCGAATCTATAGAAACATGGTTAGGGTACATAATTGTATACGGTCAAAATCGCGCTCGCTCCCTTGTGTGACTAATTGAGACAGGAATATAATAGATTAAGGTTCGACTTCGAATTATATCGAACCGAGGTGCGAGGTTATATCGTTAAGTTCGAGACCCCGGAACCAAACAAAATCGAGGTCAGTCGAGATCGAGAGAAATTTGTCAAATCGAATAACAGAAGGACGAAATATCCGCGATCGGTTGTAGATCACAGCGGAAATCTCGGCACATATCAAGGATAGGCCAATTAATTAACTAATCATGAGATTTCTTACCTCATATATAATTGTATCAAGAGTAAGACTCCCCTACTATATAAAGGGGGTCTGATCATTTATAAAAGGCATCACATTACGTTACATAAAGTAATACACTGTCATTTTCTAGCTTTTATCATCTTGTTACTCTGTTCATACATCAATTGAAACATCAGTTGATTCAAACCAATTAGTTGTTCGATTCGTGTGGTTTGCATTTATTCTTTTATTATCAATTTCAATATTAATTTATTCTCTTAATTTGTACTAAGTTGTATCACGTATTCTTAAACCCACATATAAATTCAATTGTTATCTGATTCGAATGGTAAACAATAATATCATTGGTACCGGAATTTACACTTGAACCTTACCTAAAAACTGTAAAGTGCGTTTTAAGAGAAATATTTTTTTTTTTGTGGAATCAAAATGAACATGTTGGAAATTGTGTTAAGCTATGTTTTGCCTAGGATTATAGAGATTTTTAGCTTGTAGTTTATCTTGATCTATTGCATATATTACTTCTACAATTTGACTTTAATTAATTTACCGGTTGATAAATATTTTAAAACTTCATGTTTGACAACGTTAAGCTCTATTGCAGCCACTATAACTTCTTTTGGTTCATTTAATTAATTGAATCGCTTATTGTCAAGTGTTTGCATTGATTCCTTCTCTTCAAGTTTTACCAATTATATTGCTCTATACGATCAAGTTTAGGTTCTTTATCAATAACGGCGAGCAACACTGATCTCCCCATTTTGCCTTTTGGTTTCAACTGTTCTTTAAATTTGTTCAACTATTTGGCGAAATGGTACATTTACTCACTCGCCTCTTTAATTTAATTAGTCACAATGGCATGAAGATCTTCTAAACTTCGGATTTCAGTTTTGCTCTTCGAATGAGTTTAATTCATTTATTGGATTACGTTTATCTCTCTCATTGAGTGACCTTTTGAGTGTTATTGACATAGTTAAGTGACTTTATTGTTACAAAAAAAAATGACTTTAGTAGATAGTTGGACTCCAAATCTAATCTTGCAAGTGAAGATCTCATGAGTTTTCTTTACTATCATTTTAACATTACTTTGACTTTATTGGTCCAACTTAATTGCATAAAGTGTGAGGAAGCCCTTCTCAGCCTTAATGGGCTTTTGCTTTTTAGGATACTCTAAAGATGTGCAATGTATCTTAATGGAATGGTGGACTTTAAAAGCTTCAAATGGCATCACTCAATATTTATGTGAAGTGTTCCCTGCCTAACATTCTAGGGAGTTTGGAAAATGAAATGTGCGCCTAAATACATTATAGAGTGGATGTATATTGTTCGGCTTATACAAACTACTTCGAGGAGGATCCTCGACTATACACCTAATGTCACTCCCAAACGTAAGCTATTTATTTGATGTTAAGTTACTTCTCAATTTGTTTTTAACTTAAAAAGTGATTGTCAATCTTTGATGGAGAAATTGTTGAAGGTTGAATGATTTTTTGGCCTCGATTTATAGGATGGTAGGTTGTATCACGAAAGGAGGTGCATTTATGGAGATTTTAAGATGCGTAAATGCAGAAGAAAATATATCATTCGTTTACATCATACTCTATATATATATNACTATAATACCCTTCAACATGATATCATTTCAAATATAATTTTGTACAAAAAATATAAATATACATACTAATAAAATTAATAAAAAAATAAAACATTTAATTGAAATAAAGACAAATATGGCAATTGGTAGCCCTTTGACTTTCACCATTAATTAGTAACCTCCTATTAAATATTAAATAATAGTTACTGAATGTTGTTAATTGGAAATCCTATGTTCTAGAATTTCTTGGGAATTCTAAGCATCACCAACCTTTGAATTGTTTCTAATTCAATATATTTAGAACACAACCCAAAGAATAAGGTGTCAATAGTATTATTTTTATTCTCTTAAATAAATTGCTAAATGATTCATCCGTTATAAAAATCGAAAAGTCGTATTTGCCATCTCATTATTGTGATGTTGTTTCTTCTTTGCTAAAGACGTTATAACATTATTCATCCTTATGTGGATAGATAATGTCAAAGCATTCTACAAGCAAACTTTCAAGCATTTTGCTTATACTATGTTTGATATTTAAAGGAAGAAGCAAAGTTTGGGGTCTACGACAAGACATGGTTTCTCTACTAAAGTATGAAGTAACTGGTTCATGTATCGTTTTCATCTTCTTTTTTCTTTTTTCTTTATGTAGTTGTATACGGTTAAAATCGGACCCACCCGATTTTACTATTTGACCGACACCGGGAGGTTGCATCGAAGGATGGCCTCGTAACGGAACAGACTAAATCACGAGGATAAGGTACCGAGTTCAGAATCGAGGTACCTGTCGAGATCGAGGCTAGTAGCGATCGAAGCCAAATGAGACAGACATCGAGCAAGATCGAAGATAGCACAATAACAGAAAGGCGAGATATACGTGACTGGTCGAGGATCATGGCGTAAATCTTGGAACGGATCAAATCAGAAACGGTTAATTAGCTAATCATGGGATTTCCTTCTGTAATTAGAATTATACCATAAGTGAAATTCCTCTACTATTTAAAGGGGGTTCTAATCATTTGTAACACACATTGTTCACAGATATCAAAGAAATATAATTCTCTTTCTCGTTTATATTATTGTTCGTCAGCTTGTTATATTTTAATTGTTCTTGCATCAACCAATTCGATGGTATCCAAACTCGAGGGCTGTGTTCCATTCTAACACTGGTTTGCTTTACTTTACAGTTAATTTCTGTTATTAATCTTCATATTTATCAATTGGTATTAAGTAAAATCATGTGTCCTTAGAACCACATTATAAGTTTAATTATTATCCAATTTTAAGGGTAAACAGTTTGACGCCTACCGTGGGGCCAAGGATAATAGTGATATCTTAATACTGATTCCGGTAACACACACCGCTTTACATTTATTCTCGTAAGTATCTTTATTTTCAGGATAAACATGTCAAATTCACAAGTAGCGCCTACACATGTTGACAACGGCCTCGGATTTCACGGGAAAAATGACAATATAGCTGCCCCAGGGATCGAGACACCTCAAATTGACCTCGAGGGAGCACCAATTACAAATCCCTTTGATGTCAGTTCACATGTCGTCCTAAATGCAAATTTGGGCATTGATACATAGGGAAGTTCGATCAGGTGGTTGAGGTACGCAGGGCGGAGAAGATGGTGGAGTTAGCCTCCAATTG